TTTGACATTTAGATTCACAGCCTCTCTACTTCCAAGACCCTACTTTTGTGAGATACATATGAGTGTATGACATATTATTATATATAACTATTGTTTCAGACCGATGCTCTAGTTCGTTTGCTTCCATTGATTGGCTCTTCAAACATCAGGTATCTATCAGAGATTGTGCCAATTTTTCTGCACCTAATGACCTAAATACAATCATGACAACTTCATTACTTTTTCCTTAAAAAAATGCAGCACGGCAAGTCTTTTCGGCATCACTGGTGTCCTTGCACCAGTTCTTGAGGAGACTTTGTTTAGAGGATTTCTTATGGTCTCCCTCACGAAGTGGTATCATTTCATGTCTTAAAACTCTAACTTAGAAATAGTGTTTTTTGTTGTTGAGCATATCCAAGTCCAAGAAATGGTTATCCAAGGGTTTGGAGCTAAATCTCACCTCTTAAGAATCTCTCTGGGGGTGACTGAGGCCCAATAGGATATAACCTGATTGTATGGTGGTTTGTGGGGCACTTGTCCATTTGATGATTTGTGAGAACCTGTTTGAGAATGGGTTTGAGCCCATTTGTTCACCTCACACACTCAAGTTTGAGTCTAATGTATTAGTATGAGGATAACTTCACCTCTTCAGCGAGTCGGGCCCCATTGACCCCACCTAGGACTCTGTTCATTTGGGATGTAAAAACAGAGTTGGATGTTAAGAAGAAAGTGGAAAGAGCCTAGAAAAGATTGGAAGTTAAGAATCACAACCCCCAAAAAAACAGAGCCCTAATCACACGACTACTTGTTGAAAGCTGGAACTAACTCCCTTTGAGGATGACGGGTTATGAGTTTTGACATTCTTTTATGTTCTTGAAATGAGATTTTTGTTTCTTGCAGGCTGCCCACACCGGTGTCCATTGTTCTAAGTGCTGCTGCATTTTCTGCGGCACATCTAACTCCATCAGAATTTCCTCAGCTTTTCGTACTGGGTATTGTCTTTTAACATCCGTAATAATCCCATTTTATTTTAAAGAATCTTATCTTTAAAAAAAGGGGTTGAATTTGCCTCATGAATGTCGAATATATTTAGGTACGGTACTGGGATTTTCGTACGCTCAAACGCGAAATCTTCTAACACCAATCACCATTCATGCTTGTTGGAACTCTGGAGTTCTTTTGCTTCTCATCTTCCTCCAGGTAAATTGATCTTTTATTTATTTATTATTTTTTTAAAATACTTTTTATATGTAAACACCTGTCTTGATGGCTCATGCTAGGTATGTGTTTTATGTGTAGCTTCAAGGATATGATATAAAGGAAATAATACAAGCATCTTGATCCAAAGGGGTTGACTACAAGTTGACCTTTTTTTGTTGCTTAGTTGCCATTTTATCTGTTAGTTCTTCATTGATGAATGAGGTGGGAAGCTCTTCTACCATGTCTTGAGAATGATCAAATAATGAGCAATGCAAGATCTTTTAAAGAAAATCTTCAAATCCAATTCTTCTTCATGCATATTATGGAGTATAAAAAAACGACCAAGTATTTAGGCCATGTTATGATCTGAATGGTTCTGATCTCTTTAAAATAAATTTTGTTCCGGTCTGACCTAAATATAATTATATTTAAAACTATTTCTGATCTGATATCGTCTGATCTCGATTTCAATATGAAAAGTAATACTCCGTAAGTAATAAGAATAAGTTAAAGAGAATATGACCTATATTAATAGACAAGTAATGGTTTAATTTCCGTGTCAATTTCAAGTCTTGGTTTTTTAATTATTATTATTACGGAATATTATTTTTATTTTTTGAAAAAATGTTATATATCATACTACTATATTACTACTTCCGTCCAGTGTATTTATCTAGTTTGATTTTTTCGAGTTATGCAAGACGAATTTTAAGTTTCAATTACTCTTAATTTGGATTGCATATTTGTATAATAAAATAATATTCTGAAAGTTCTTAACAAAATAATTTTAATAAAATTATTTTTGTATTAACATATACCCCGGAGTATTATAATTTTTGTTTAATTGAAATTCAAAATCTATCTTGTATGACTTAAAAAAGTCAAATTAAGAAAAAAATACTCGAAGAGAGGGAGTGTTAGTTTTGTTTCTAACATTGCAACAATGGAATCTCGTGTGGATTTTGATAATTACCACGTAGAAATTAAAAAGGGAGCACTTAATTACTGGCATCCCAACTCTATTTTCACCTCTGTATTTTACCTTTAGGTTTTTTTTTTAAAAAATATAATTCTCTAATTGACCATTTCAAACGTCTAAAAAAGTAAGATCCACTTAGAAAGTAAAACAGAAAATAAAAAAAGTACAATAATTAATCATGCTAAAGGAATTTAACATGAGAAGTTAGGAACCATTACCATGACAAATAAAGTCATGTCACCAGAACAAATTAGCTAGTGACGTATACCAAGACCAAAGTACATTTAAATTATGTCATATTACTCGAACATTCAGTAATATTTTTTTTATAGTACTATTGTTTTTACAATTGGTAATTTGTTTCTTCTTTTATTCATATTATTTATTGTAAAGAATTTTTCATTTTAATGCATATTTGTATATTTTGTTTCCTAAAAGAAGTTAAAGAAATGCTTGAATCATATATAACACATTCATAAAATTGACAAATTTACTATTTGTAAACCTCACTAAAAGAAGAAAATGATCCCAAGAATGCTAGTCACAAACTAAATGGCCACAAATCTCACATAATTATTATTTATAAAAAAAACTTTTTACTTTTAAATTATTTTGTGCTCTTAATGAGATCCAAAAGGAGCAAATATGTAAATTTTGTGACTACTTAATTACAATCTGACTTTAGCATTTCTTAATGATCCCAAATATTTTAAAAAGTAGAAATTTAAATATCCAAATAGTAAGTTTGTGACCATTGTGTTTAAAAGAAGTTCGTTAAATATTTATGTGTTGAATACTCCACCACACACATGAATTTTTTTTTGTTTGATTTCAAAAAAAATTTAAAACATTATTAAGTGAAAAATACATGGTTGAAATTCGTCAGAAGATAGAAATATTATGAACCACATATTCATTTTTTAAAAAGGAAATAGGAAAAATTGTTTTTTTGCGTGAATGAGGATTACTCCCCCGCTTCAAAATGAAGTATATACTTTAATTTGTTCAACAAAGTTTAGAGAGTGTTAAAAAATGATCAATATTTAGCGAAAACTAAAACACATAGTTGGTATGTGATTAGAAAATATTTAGATAAAAAATTATAAATTGCACATGCTCATTTTCAAAAAAAGAAAATAAAGAAGTGAGAATTTAATTTCGAAATATTTGGGAAAAAAGTGTAAAATTTAAATTTTAATTTGGAGGGAGTATCTGATTATGGGGCCCACACCATGCCATTTAAGACGGTGAAAAATCTCAGTAAATTAATGAGAACCCAGTGAAAATATATTCCACGATTCCACCAATGAGGCCGCGAGCTTGACTTTTTGACCTGGCCAAAAGCCACTCCCTTTTTTATTTTTTTCCTGGCAAATTTCCGGTCTCGGACCAATTCAAAGGCCGGTTTTTCAGGAGACTTATGTCAAATGAAAGTATTTTCCCTTAATGGGCCCTTTACCTTCAAACACACATCATACATGATCAATTTCTAAACGATTCAAAATAAAGGACCTCTTTGAAAATAATCTTAGAAATTAGAGTTAGCGTTCTGAAAAGACTATTGCCGCTATTCTACGGACAGCGTTTAGTGTTAGCATTTTGCAAAGTAATCTATACTTGTAAAATTTTATTCAAAACACTAACGCTAATCTCTAACGCTATTCTCAAACAAGCCCAAAATGTACTTCATCCCAACTTTATTATAGTATTTGGAAATTCACATTTCCTTTCGATTCATTCATTTCAAATTAAATTTGAATTTTTGAATTTTAATTGAAAATGGAAGATATATAGATTTCAATTTGAACTTTGTAATGAATTAGAAGAATCTGACTGAAATGTAAATTCAATTTTTTTAAATTTTCCAAACATGGAATTTGAGTCCAATACTATTAAAATTAGTTATAGTTTTGTTTAATGGCAATTGTTCATTTTTAATTTATCGAAAAAGTCATGACGACTAGTTAAAACAGAACAGAGAAAGTAATTTGCAATGACAATTATGAACATAAAAATCTATTAGTGCCACAAACTTATTTGCAAGCTTTGGGACTTGTTTTCTTGGACAGACAATGTTTCCAAGTTTCACAACATTTATTAAAAGAGTTTGAAAAGCATAAACACCATTCCCACACTTGCAGATTTGGTGATCTTTGAAAGGCATTAAAAGTGATAAATTAAATCAAATAATGTGCAACCTATGACTATTTAATTACAAACTTGTGATTCACTTGACCTTAATTACTTCCTAGGGTTTTTTATGGTGAACTCCTAGTATAGCTAGTTGTATTATTTCATTTGCATTTCCTTTTAAAAGGATGAATCCAACCCCGAGGGCCCCTCAGAACATGTCAAACGATGAACTGAGATTTTGTAAATTGAGTTTTGATTATATATTGGTGGCAAAAATTAAGTCTGCTCTGGTACTTGATTGTAAATGCCCAATGTACTTAATTATTATTCTGAAAAAAACATAAAGTATATAACTGTAAAGTTTCCATATTATTGAAAAAGTATATAGAATGTATGTGAGTAATAATTATTAATTAATCCGGTAAAAGTTAATTAAGTTTCCAATATGTGGTAACAAAAGTCACCACAAAAGGAGCTAGGCCGAACCTTCCGACGTACATACACCCCTTTGAATGAAGCATATACATTATAATACCATATATAAATGCCATTAAGCCACTGTTATTTAATTATTTAATTCATTCATTAATTTTCTCAACATATTTAATAATTAGGGTTTTCTCTCTCTATCTCTCTCTCTTTCTCACTCATAGCTAGCTTGTTGGTTTTGAGGTGTGGAAGCTATATATCTAGATGAATAATAATAATAAACTAAACTCATTTTCTTGTGTCTTTTACTAATTACTTGTGGTTTACTTATAAGAAGATTAGAGAGAGAGAGAGAATTATTGATTGATTGATGATCGATCTCGAGGTGAGTGAGTAAGTATCTAGGAGGATCGGAGCTAGCTAGGTAGGAGGATGGAAGATGATCAAAGAAGGAAGGAAGGAGAGGAAAGCGGGGGGGCGGTTTTGCCGGGTTTCAGGTTTCATCCGACAGACGAAGAGTTGGTCGGGTTTTACTTGAAGAAGAAGGTTCTAGACAAACCTCTCTCCATTGAGCTCATCAAGCAGCTTGACATCTACAAATATGATCCTTGGGATCTTCCTAGTAAGTATACTACAAATTAAATATGATCCTTGGGATCATCTTTTGATGATGATGATGATGATCTATATATATATATATATATATATATATATATATATATACCTTAAGTTTATTAAGTGTCTAGATCTTCTCATAAGTGACTTTTATCTTATATATCAGAGTAGTAATTAATCAAATCTTAAATCGTACGCACGCGTAATTATGTTACTCCTGTGTAAGATTTTTTCGGATCTTTTCATTGATGATCCTTTAAAATTATGCAAGTTTTTCTATAGATCGCCAAAACCCTACATCCATTGACTTTTGAGATGTAAGGTTTAATAATCCATTATTATAATTACACAGTATTATTTGCAATTAGGTTCAATTAATAATCCATGGGAACCCATATGATTATATATATGTGAGAATTAGTAGAAAGATGGATTGAAAGTGCCAGGATCATCCATGCATTAGAAAAGGGGATTGAAAGTAGAAACTAAAGATTGAAGTCTGAACTGTGAATACACAACTTAAAACACTCTCTGCGTCTCGATATAGATTACAATTTTTTTTCTCGCCTTTCGACAATAAATGTTTATTTGTATGTCTCCATTAATTATTTGATAAAATAAAATATTCGTATCACTTTTTGTTTTGCAGAACTTTTACGTAGTTTTTTTAATATGTAAGTTATATTTTTTTCCTATTACATATTTTTAAATAAAATTATTTTAAAAAACATGGGATTTATTTTGTAATAAGAAATTTGTAATCTAATTTGAAAAAGGAGGAAAGTATAAGTCATGGCTTAATTAAGAGGAATTTACATAAATAGCACTAAACATAATGACCTCCACTAAATAGTATCACATGTGTTTTTTTCCTAATGTAGCGATTTTAGTCATTATTCAAGTTAATTTTTGTCATCACTGGACATTATGGATATTATTAAGTGCTATTTAGGGAATAAAACAATTTAAGTGTTATTTAGGAAAATGACTTAAGTTTTAATGCTATTTAGTACAAATATTTCCTTAATTGACCTCTCAATATTTAAGCCATGCATCAACTTAACCTAATACTGTTGAATTTAAATAATGGGCAGAATTGGCGGGAACGGGAGAGAAAGAATGGTACTTTTACTGCCCGAGGGACAGGAAGTACAGGAACAGCGTGAGGCCGAACCGGGTGACCAAGGCCGGGTTTTGGAAGGCGACCGGAACGGACCGGCCGATCTACTCGTCGAGCGACGACTCGAAGTGCATCGGGCTGAAGAAATCGCTGGTCTTCTACCGAGGCCGCGCCGCCAAAGGGAGTAAAACTGACTGGATGATGCACGAGTTCCGGCTGCCGCCGCTCTCCGGCGACCTTCCCTCCCACAAGAGGGTATTGTTGGAAAAACACATCCCTCCCAATGTGAGTAACATATACTACCTCCACTAGAAAATCTTCTTTTGTTTTGACTTTTTTTAGGATGAAATATAAATGTTATAAAAATTTGATATATAAAAATTATATTCTAACATGAATCCAATTATATTAAATTTATATAAAAATTAAATATACTTTTTTCACAATTTTCTGGTCAAAGAACATCATTGTTTAATTTGACCCAAAAAAATAAAAATAGGAAAGGTTTTCTCGGACGGAGGTAGTAATATATACTCCCGTTTATTAAAACAATTTCATATTCATTTTTTTGTTCATCACACAGAACACTTCTATCACACCTAAAATATCTAAAATATTTTCAAAATAACTTTAACCCGCAATAAAGAAGAAAGCACGTGTCATTTAGTCTAGTGTTTCGAGTGGTCATTCAGTGTCTGATGCACGCAAAAAATTAACACATTGAATAACACTTCACACACTGTCGCTGGCCGGAATCGATCCTGAGACCTCGGACTTAACACTTGTAATTCAATACATTAATGGTGTGTTTTTGGTTTTTTTTTGCAGGAAGCATGGGCAATATGTAGGATATTCAAAAAAGCGAACCCCAATGTAACAAGGGCACTATCTCAACAATGGGCTGCATTTTCACCTGCAACTCCCCAAAATACCCTCCATGAATTGCAAACCCTAGAGGACCACAACAACAACATTAACCATGATGATGATCCCCCTCATCATAAAAACACTCCCCCTTCCACCCTCTTGTTCCATTGCGCCACCACCAACACCGGCTTCAAATGCTCGCCGGAGATCCCCGTGGCGGCCGTGCCAGCTCACCCCCTCCCCCACGACGGCCCCTCCTCCGCCGCCAGCTACAGTGCACTATTCCACTCATCCCCATTCACACATTACTTCAACAACCAAACACTCCCTTCTTACCCCATCACCCAAACTACTAATGACCCCTCCTCCTTGTTCCTAGAGCTGGCGGCGAGTCATGCCTGCGGCGGCGGGATGATCGGCAGCCAGCTTCCGGTGGCGGTGCCGCCCGAGAATGACGTCGCGGAGGGGAAAATGCCGGTGGCGGCGGGGAAGGAACCCTCATCACCAAATATAATTGATGAGTCCATTAGGTTTTCCTTCAATGGGTTCCCTTTGAATGAGAACAATAATAATGTGTGGAAGTCATCGAGTTTGGCTTGGGACTACCCTTCACCATGTCCAAGTGAAATCTCATCTGGTAGTTATTCCACCAACACAAGTTCCACTTTTAATCTCTTGTTATGAATCACTGAGTGTCATATTTCCTCTGTCCCGAAATAAAGTTTTTGGTATTCATTCGAATATGTACACCGGAGTATTGTTTTTAATAAAAGATTTGCAAACCTTTTTTCGAAACAGAGGGAATATTTATATAAAATAGAGCTTGTGTAATTTGTACTTTTATTTTTTGAGAAATGGGTACTTTAGTTTTGAAATGCGTATGTAAAACAAATTCCTAATTACAAGTAATTTTCTTGTAGTGTGTCTTGAGAAAATGTTGGAACATTTTTTTAGGTAATACGGAGTAATTGTTTAGAAGAAGACCATATTTTATATACTCTTCGTCCAACAATAAAGTTAGCTTATTTTTGTGTACTATTTGATAAAATAATAGTCATGTCACCTCTAATGATCTTTTTATGTAGTTTTTGAATATGTAATTTTTATTTTTTTAATTCCATATCATTTTTCATGAAAAATGATTTGAAAATAAATTCTGTCAAACATCATAATGCGCAACAGATATCTTATACTCCCTCCGTCCCTTAAAAAACTTCCCATAATGCTCTTTGATGATAGATAAAGTAGAATGTGATGGGTAGATTAATAAAAAAAAAAGTGTGATGTGATAGGTAGGTTAAGAATTAATAGAGGTAAAAAAGACTTTTTGATAAGAAAAGAAAAGTATTTTTCGGGATGAATGAAAAAAGAAAGAGGAAAGGCTTTGTGGGACGGAAGGATTACATGATAGGAGGGAGTATATGGTAGGGGAGTTTAAGTATAAATGTATAAATGGCTGGATGAGGATCCATCGTGTCTCGGAGCGTTCGGTTGGACCTTTCTTTATCCCAACACATAACATCACTCGATTTATTTGACAATAATAAATTATTGAATTATCTGTTACTCCTTCCATCCCAATTTATATTATATATTTGGACTTATAGTAAACTATAGTAAAAGTAGAAAAAAAACTCAACAAAAAACAAACAAATGAACGTGCAGAACGAGTCACCCGATCCATTTACCATCCGAGTATTCGATCTATATAGGGGTCAGATTTGGTTAATGTGGACAATAGAAGTGCGCAATCTTGGTTGGTGCCTTTGTGCAATTAAGATTGCAGCACATAAAAGGATCGGCCCAATAGGAGAACCAACAGTCCAAAGGGGCACCCCTCACGGGTTAAGTGGATCCACATTGGCCCGAATCCTGGCGAGCCCAAAGAAAAGGTTGACAATAATCACATTAAGGAACAAACAAGAACGATAGTAGATTAGAACAAGAAAAGAGTAAAAAGCTCAGTAGAACATAATAAATGCAAAACAAACTTCGCGCACAAAGGTGTGACAAACATTCGACAAACGACAGAGAAAATAGAAATCTGGATAAATCTTGGAATAACAAAAGCTTGAGAAAAGTACATTTCAATGAAACCTCATCAAGAAATGCTAAGACATGATAATCCCAAAAATTAATCTAGAAGCATATATCTTGCACAAACCCATTCCCTGCAACTCATACTTTAGCAGCTTGCCTTTCCTTGGTCTTCTGGATCTTCAAAACTTTCTTCACAATTTTTTGCTCTTCGACCAAAAAGGCTCTGATGATCCTACAAAGACAAACACAGAACTTCATATGACCACAACAAAGATGTGTTTGGAGATGATCAAAAACTCACTCAGTCAATCAAAAGCTCGAGTAACTCAACACTAAAAACTGTAAAATTTGGGGTGCAAAGGGGAGTAATGTCTGAATTCGACAATGATAATGAATAATAGTTCTCATTTGTCATACTACTTTATAACTCAATTTACCTAACTGTCCGAGGGACCCTATAGAGGAGGGTTATCTTTTTCTACAGACAGGGAAAGCATACCGTTTAAACTAGGGCCTAGAAAGGCGCATGCAGAGTCAATTCAAGAGCAAAAAATAATACCTTTCGCGGACAGCAGAACCTGAAAGCACTCCACCATAGGGACGATTCACAGTTCTACGGCACCTAGGCAGTCTGGACCTCTTGTACTCAGCAGGTCTCAAGTGGGGAATCTGCATGTGATTAATAACATAAGTTAACAAAATAGTACTTGAACAATGTCTAGTGGCGGTGGAACAATGTCTAGTGGCAGTGGGCATTTACTTGAACAATGTCTAGTGGACATTGATCAATAGTACTACATGGGAAAAACTCAGTATGTTTTAAAACTATATAAGTAAATTCCCCTTAAAAAATTATACTGAATAAGAAAAAATTTTCAAAAAAGAAAAACAGAATAGGGGTAAGCAGAATGCACAATTTTGAAGAAATATGACAGTTTGGTGCAAAAGTAAATCTTGGCAACACTCAACAAGTGTGATAAAAGAACTACAAAATGAGCCAAGAAGTAATATCCTATTTTGATTGCTACAAAATGCAAACTGGTAGTCATATTCGCTTATCAAAGATCTTAACAAAAAATGATAAGTGTTAGCTATTCAAAGAAATTGATTAACATAAGTTTGCATCATTTCTGAAAATCACCAACTACTCACTACCATACACAAATTATGAATACAATAGTAAAGTCTGTACACCTATAGCTTAAGAAGTAAACAAAGAAATGTCAAGTTAGAGAGTACCTCGAACAAGATAATCTCAGAAATTGACAACTTAACAAGAACAGAATATTTGAAACAAACTAAGATCATTCTTAAGTATAAACACAGCAAAATTCACAAAAAATAAGCATCAAGTCAAATCCCAATCTAAGGAAATCAAGATCCAATTACACGTCGTAAATAAAATGATCAACCATTTCTTAACAAAAAAAACAGAAATACACATACCCCTTGGATTCTCTTTCCAGTTACAGGGCACTTAGGGCCGTTAGCCCTCTTCTTATGTCTTTGATACACCAGCTTCCCACCTATTCACACAATATTTGCAGTACCCACAGATCAAGATTGAATCTTTATTGCACAACTATGAACCTATTAAGATTAAATCGCGAAAACACGCAGAATCCCACACATTTCTACAGATAAAATTAAGAAAAACAAGTAAACAAACGAAAAAAACGAGAAAATGTTTGCATAGTGAAGGAATACCTGGGGTTTTGACGATCCTGTGCTTATTGGACTTGGTGGCATAGCTGTGCCTTGTCCGATAGACCAGCCGCTGAACCATTTTTGCGCTGTGGGTAGCTCTGGTTTGGAGGCGGAAGAAGTGAAGAAGGAAAACAGGGGAGGGGACAGTGAAGATATAGTGGTGAAGCCCTAGATCGGACGGCCATAAATCGGAATTATTTTCGGCTCGTATTCAAGCCGATGTAAGGCTGGCCCAATTAGAATATAATGTTGTCTTTGCTTCAAGATATTTTTTGGCCCATCCAATATTATTTAACGGGCTGCACATTATGGATTTTGAAAAGAAAAAAATGTTAGATTCACCGATAAAATGGTCACAGATTTCACAAGTTTACTACGGAGTATTTATGAAATTTAATAAAGAAATAAAATAATCTAAGAAAATTTTTTAAAAAAGAATTTAACTCACAAATGGTAGGTTTGTAAAGAATTTTGTACCATATCTCGAATTGTTTGGGACTGTTTGGTGATTTTCAGTCTTTTCAGAGACGTGAAAATTATAAGTCGAGAAACATTTCCAAAATGTTTGTAGATTTATATTGTCAAAATAATAAGTTTCAAGAAAATAGAAAACAAAGAAACGTCATTTTTATCATTCTCATACGACTTTCTTAAAAGATGATGTGTTACACTTTAAAATGTTACTCCGTTAATTAACCATGAGAGGTTATCGAAATACTTAATCAAAATAAAAAGATTATTCCACAAAACGAAAGATGACTTAATTATATTATTTAATAGATGATCAATAAAAATACATATTATTTGTTTTTGGTCTTAGAGTGTGGTGCTTTTTGTTGATTGTGAGCGTTTGGCTAAGGCAATTTCAGATGAGAAGACTAGTCTCTCATCTTATTTTGGTACCTTGGTTATATATTGTAAAGCCTTTTTGTCTAATTTTTCTTCAAATTCTATTTTGTTTGTTCACATGGAAGCTAATGTAGAGGCTCATAGTCTTGCTAGGCGGGCGGGAACCCAACGGTCTGTGGGGATTCCTACCCCTTATGAGTTTGTATCATCCATGACGATTTAATTAATGAAATTTGTTCTTTTCCTAAAAAAGTTCATGCAGTTCAGAACGCATAAATTACGAATTTTTTTCCTCAACATGACTACTACTCCCTTCGTCTCACGAGTATAAAAATTAACTATTTTTGTTACTCATTTGAGAAAATCATACAGTCTTGTCACATCTTATTTGCAAAACTTTTGATATAATTTCTAAATAAATTAATTTTATTTTTAAATTCCAAACCAATATTCAAATAAATTAAATTTGAAAATAACTTCAGTTAAATCACCATCGTAAACAACAAGCAATTCAAATTGGAACGTAGGGAATAGTTGATTGTATCTTCAAGAAACTTATGACAAACTGATTCCAAAAACTACTAAATGAACTAATGCAAATTGCTTTCTTCCTTTAATTCTCTAGCTGATCTTTGATATGTGACACAAACAATACACTTACCCCATATATATAATATGTACACAAACAACAACACCACTTGGGGATCACAAAAACAAAACAAAAAACAAAAACAAAAACCCACAAACCAGCTGAAATGAGATCAAGACTTGTTATGAATAGGGTCTGATCTTCTTGGAACTCTCCATTTGCTCGTCCCGTTTTGATCAAACGTCTCCTTCTTCTTATTCTTCTGAGGCCCGCTTTCGTTCATCACCACCAGCAAACGCCGATCACTCTCTGTTCCTCCCCCAGATTTTGAATTGCAGCCATGATCATCAAGGCCCATGCTTCTGCAGGCTGCAGAAGCTTTCTCTGCAAGAACAAAAACTGCCAACAATAATCCTATGCATATGAGACCAAGAACTGCCTTCTTGTCTTTTTTAGTAACACCCATTTGTTTTGTTTCTAATGACAAAGTGACACACTACATTATATTCCTGTAGATATCCTTTATATATATGTTGCAGAGAATGTTTGGAAGGGTTAAAGAATCATGAGGAGCATAATAAATCTGACATTTGATTTGATGAATGCAGACTAAATTAAAGCTGCTGTGGGAAGAATCTGATTATATTGAGGTGAATAAAGGGTTGGGGCTGTTGAAATATACTCACTCTTGTCCTCAAAAGAAGATCTCATTTGCTTTTTTTCCCATAGAATTTAAGAAGAAAAAAAAGTGATACTGCATGATAGAAATTTATGCAGAGGAGAAAGAAATAACGTGAACCATTCATTTCATTCCCTAAATGGAATAAGAATTTCTTTTAGAGACATTAAAAAATGAACAGCATAATATTTTTTAGGGACGGAGAAACTTTATTTATAAAAAAAAAGATGTACATCCCTAGTGTCTTTCCAAGGACCGATCGTACATTTACTTGGAATATATATATATATATATATATATATATATATATATATATATATATATATATATATATAACTAAACTTTTATTTTGGCAAAAAAAATTGAATTATATTTTTGATACGTGCAAAAACTGTATGTCTTTCATCATCGTTAGTTTGAGTCTGATTAGCACATTATCCCCTTTTTTTGCACATCTTCAAATTACCAATGAGAACTAACATCATTGAGAAGCTAAGCCAAGAATCTTCTTTTTGTCTCATCTTTTCTCTCTTTTTTCCTTTAATTTTTCTTTAATGCACAAATGGACCCTATAAGATTCAATTAGCAGTAATCTATTTCGGAGATATATAAATATTTATAAAAGGATAAAAATGTTGTGTGAAAACTAGTGGGGGAATAAAGCATTGTCCGGTTTGTCCCCATTAAGAGATTGAGATAAACAAATTAGGAAATCTCAATATGGAATTCCAAACTAGTACTATATCTATAGCCTATATCAAAATTACATTCCAACCGTTGAGTTATTGTCACATTAGTCGTGTGCCAATAATACAACGGTTGGAATTCCCAAATAAAAGGACTGCATCTCGACTTCCGTGCCCGTTGACCATCATCATGACTACATCCAAAACCAAAAAAAGAAAAAAAAAAGGAAAGCAAACTTGAAAATAGGCAATTTAAGTGATCAAAACATCATATATAACATTATGGTACAAAAGCTATACACCAATATGGGAACCCCAAGCAAGTGAGAAGTATGGGAAGATCCACACTACATTCTGTTGTTTCCCTACTTACCTTGTCTACAGTATCAACCGCAACGTAATCTCCAAACAATTTGTGTGTGTGTGTGTGTTCGCGCGAATTAGTGGCTTCAAATGACACTCTCGCAAGTGAAAAAAAGGCCAATTGGGTCTTCCAACTCCACCGTGTGAGCAAAGAATCTCGTCTGGTTTTTTTTTTCCATCTAATAAAATGACAGAAAGCTATGAGTACCTACGGACGCATTTAACTATATACTTCCCTTTCTCTAGATCGTACACGGTCTTCAGCTGAGGGTGATTTCTCCAGTCTCTTGTATAGAAGGCCACAAATGTCAATAGAACGAAAATGCCAAAGACCGCAATCAAACTTGTAGGCAAGTCACCCCCAAACATGGACGCAAACCAGTTAGAAGAAGAGCCTTCGCCCAAGTCAGTACTGCTCTGCATGATGAATGCCCCTAATGCCCAGTCGAGTGGGATATTGTCCACTTGATTCGCATAACCAATCCTGCACGATCACACAATTGAATGAAGTTATGACTTAACACTACTCTGTATATGGTATGCGAAACACCCAAATGATATTTTATAGCTATTTGATCTGTATCAGTTCAGATGATGCCTCGACTACTTAAGCTGTGTTTGAATGGAGGGTTTTGGAAGGGTTGGGAGGGAATGCTTTGAAGATTTTATGTAACAAGTGGAAGATTTACATGATATGATATTTTATAACATTTCAATCGCCTTTTTTCTTTTGAAGAAAATTTTTATTTATCAAGATATATACTAATGCTTCTGAAACCTTTCTCTTCAAAACCACCCATCCAAACGGATCCCAATGGGTAGACGCATAAATGCAATATAAATCAAAACAGTTGTGGTGCCATTTGAGCATTGTGCCAAAATTCACAGTACAACTATTTAGAGAAAAAGACTAAAGTAGGAGTAAAACATTGAAAATAAACCAAAATATGAGTTCAAGTTTTTATTCCCGAAATAGGAGTTAAAATGCATCTACATTACCAAGTATGACCATGTACATAACGTAAAATGCACATGTACAGTGTCACATTACCACAATGGGAACTCCTATTTAGAGAATAAAAACATAGAACTCCTATTTTGGTACTTTCTCTATGTTTTAGTCTTATTTAGGATGATTTCTTAATTATTTATGTGTATCGCACTGATTATGTTTTTGAGATTAAATAAAAGGGGAGAAAAACAGCTACCTTTCATCTTCCAATGAAATTCCAAGACTATCATGAAGCAAGGCCACAATATATGCTGAAGAGAAACAATAACGGAGCAAATCCTCCTCTGCTAGTGAGTGGTACTTGCTCCTCAACTTTGACCAATCTTCCTCACAGAATCTTTTCCCAGCATTCATCAGATCAGAGAGCGATGCCTTTGGGGCCAATCCAAAGAACTGTTTTTTTTTATTTCAATAAAGCTAAATTCAGCATTGCATTAAAATGTATAGGGCACAAAAGCACACACAATGAAACACTTCTGAACATCAATGTCCAGTAGGGAAATAACACAGAAGGGATTGCAACCTTAGAAGTATGGAAGAAATTTTCTGTAGCCAAGAACTTCCCCTGTAGCTTAGGTATAAATGCCGGTCCAATGTCACAGCTTTCATAAGCGCACTTCTCTGCATGTGAAAATAACAAAACCTTCATACAATATTTGGTTTAAAGAATTCGGAAGGGAAAAGAAAAGAAAATGACAAAGAAAAGCAATTTTGGGGATTGGTTGGAAAAGGAAAAGAAAAGAAAACTGGGAGGAAAAAGAAAGGCAAGTAAAACATGAAGAAAAAAATGGTAACGTGGTTTTTTCCAGATGTGTGAAGAAAAGGAGAAAAAAGTCAACCCCACCCCCCTCATTTTTTGTGAGGAAAAGGAGAGCAATTAGTTTTTTTTGCTTTCTTTGACTTCCGATTCCTTTATTTATTCCCCAAACCATACATAATGTTAGGATTCATTTGAAAGTTGGAACAAAGAAAATACTACGGAAAGAAGGAAATAGAGAGGTAAATAAAGAGGATAAATGGAGGAAACATCTGTGTGGGAGGGGGAATAACTGATACATGATAGGCTCAAACTCAATAAATTTGCTTTGGATATTTGTTTGAATTTGTTTTCTTAATTATGATTCATCTCTAGTACTAAACTACTCCGTATATAAAGACTTTTTGGCAAAGCCAAACATATGAAAATACTTTTCATTGACATTTTCTGAGATTTAAGCGTACATTAATTTAGTTGTGTAAAAGAAACAAGATGGCCCATTGTGAGAGGGAAGATAGATTGAAGACGAAAGCTCTTCCAATGAAGAAAAAAACATAGGCATACCTTTGCCTTTCTGCAATAACAGCCGTGCAGCAGATCTACACTCTGAAAAGTTACCATTGGGATTCAATGCTGAGAGACATCTAGACTTTTCTGCAGAATGACTAGGTGAAAATTTCCATTGTTCTGTCTCATGGGTATACCCTCTAGGAGTGCAAGGGTCCATTGGTTTCACACTTTGGAGGGAGCCAATACCTGAGATAAAGACATGAACGAAGCAAGATTCAAATGAAGAAGTGTGGAGGTGCATGAAAGAAAGTGGATGTTGTTTAGTCCCACACAAGAAATGATATTCATAAGTATACACTGATAAGAATAAGTGGCACATACCAAGATCGTCCCCTCTTGCAACAAGTGATTCCCGCAATAAGTCAAATGCCACATTCTGCAAAATTTCCCAAGCCATTCATTAAAAAAATGTGTCATGCAAAGTGTTTACAAGGTTCTGCAGATTCATTCATTAAGAAGTCACTTGGTAAGTGTTAACAATTTTTGTTTTCACAGAAAACAGAAACAAGAAAATGTTTTTCACAGTAGTGTTTTTGTTTTCAATTTTCTAGGAAAAAAATAGAATTCTGAACATGGTAGGAAGCAGGAAACTTGTGTTTCATTGTTATCGAATGAATCTTTCTGATTTAGGATTTTTATAAAAGTCATATATTTTCACGACAAACAAAACAAATCTCACACACAAAACAGATCTGCAAAACATGAAAAACAGATAACTGAAAACAGATAATATAAACCAATAGAATTTATCAGAAGTAAAATTATTGACAACTGAAAAAAAACGTGGAATCATTTTGGAAGAGCCCCATCCATACTTCTTCATGATAAATTTACCAAACTTAACAACTTTTCATGATTGATTATTATGCCTATCCCAAAAGAAGTTTATATACCTGGCCAAAATGAAGTAGGCTGTGACTGTAAAGGTTGTAGGTTTGATTCCCAAACTTAATTTTACTTGAGTATTCCTGGGGTAAAGGCTCATTAGAAACAAAAGTGACCTGCAAATTGGTAAACCAATCCACCATAATAAATTAACAACCCAACATTATCCAATACCAATATATAAATCAGAAGTAATAATATCCATTCTCACGCAAACAAACACTGTTAGGATGCAACATATTCATCCATAAGATTCTATTGACCACCAACTACGTCGCCCCCCTATGATTCATGATTATAACTAAGATGCAATAAACAATCAAAATACCAAAAAGTAAGTAGCCAGTAGTAGGAATACAAGATGGTTCTAGAACTTATGTTCATTTTCCAAATAAATTTACAATGGTAATTTCATGGTCATAATAAAAGAAACTCTCATTGATAAAATAATGTAAGCATACTATATGAAGCACATATTCACATCTGAATGAAATCAATGAATTAATTTAGCTTAAATATAGACATTGAAACCTGAGCTGAAGCTCCTCCAAGTTCAAGAATTCCTGTTGTTTGCTCAGGATTTCCACCAAGTGTTCCAAGGGCATAATTAGCAACAACCCAAGCATATACCCCCTCATCAGATCCTAAAACCCATAAATTCATCATTAAACTTCTTTAAAATGAAGCAAGTACTATGCCTTGCAGACTATATTTACAAAGACTTGGCCAAAAACATTATGCATATTCACACATGTAATTATACATAACAACTGAGATAGAAGCCACAGTTCATAAACCTGGTATAACAGTTGCCCAATCATCCTGGAACATAAAACCAGAACCCTTCAAGACTTTCCGGCAGACACCCATTATCCTCTCTTGCACCTCAGACTCCAATAACCTCATCCCTGCCGTGGCCATTAGCCGGATTTTCGTCCTGCCCCAAAATTCTCTGGGCACAATCTTCTTCCCAAAAGCCACCAACTCGTCAATCGCCTGCGCAGCCATCTCCGGCTCCTCCTCGTATGCTGAAAGCCCCGGATTCACCTTCATGGAGTGTAAACCATTTTCCCGGAAATTGTACACCGGAATTCCATTTCTGATCTCGTATTCAAACACGTGTATCCTCGTTCCGGTACTTCCCCCATCGATCACAATCCCGTAATTCCTCTTGGCCGTATGTTTGATCCTAATGTTCTTGGAGAAAGCGAAAATGAAACAGAGGAATGACAGGAGCAAAACGATTGAAGTAAATAATATAAGCTTCGGTTTTGAGTTATGTCTGGTAGGGTTCCGGTAAACGGATCGGGCAGGCCGGAAGTGGAGCTTGGCGGCGGAATCCATTCTGGGAGAGTCGTCGGTGATCACCTTGTCGGAATTATCCCTGGCAGTTCGGGCATTGGATCGGCGCATCAAAAAGGGGGGATTCTTGAAACATAAGAGTGGGATTGAGGATCTCTCCTCGGGCTGTCGCCGTGTGGGTTTTCCGGCTAGGTGGTCGGAGATCGGGAGGGCTAATTACAAGAAAATCCCCCCTCTCTCCCGGCGAGAACACAACCTGCGCTTTTCTTCTTCTTTGTGCTCTCTTTCTGTCAAATGATATGTTTCTTCACTCCTTATTGAATTTAGGGAGACGGTGGAATTGAAATGCTTTGCGGTCCTTGCGGAGTTTTTGAAGTCTGTCGTGGTGCTATTCTTATGGGCCGGTGTTGTCGGCCCGGTCTCCGGTGATGCTTAGGAGGGTTTTAAATTCATGCTTTGTTTTGATTAAAAAAAGAAAAAATTACATCTCAAATAATCTTACCTTTTCGTGCTCTATCAAAAATAATTTTACTTTTTTGTGCTCTTTCAAAAATAATCATACTTTTTACTATCACTGAAAATAATCACACATTTCTGCATGTGTGCGAGTTTTGGGTCGCCGTTAAAAAACTAACGTCACTTAACGGACTTTTTGAAGAATGCCTATTTTCGCAAATAAATGAAAGATAAGATTATTTTAGGTAAATTCTCTTTTTTGTTTTTTAGGTTGATCAAAATCTTTGAAAAGAGCATAGCAAAGGAGAAAAAATCATGCAAATACTCCATGAAATTTGAGTTTTTACAACTACATTCCAAGACAAGTTTTTTCCATTTTTCTTTGTATATATAGGGCATGTTTGAATATTGGCTTTTCGAATGATTTTTTGAATGTTCTAACTAATTTTGGCTATTTTGACCAATCAAACAACCAAATAGAATGTTTGACAAATGACTGTTGAAATTTGCTGTCAGAGTTTGAAAAGTCAAAATATGAAAAGCTAGGAGGAGTAGCCTTTCGAGTTGGCTGTTGGTTGTTGGAGTATAATTATTTATTATAAAAATATTAAATAAATAAATAAGTAAGTAAGTAAATAAATAAATATGAAGTAAAAAAAAGAAGAAACAAATGAGTAAATAATAACTACTTTCAATTCTTCGGAATGAAATTCTCTTAGAATTTACGAATATTTTTTTAGAAAATTAATTTTTTTGAAAATTGGTATAGAAAAAAACTTACACATTAAATAACTTTTATAATAAATATAATTTGTTAAATAGTCTAATATGGAGTACATCAAAATAGAAGGCAAACATTTATCATTTTTCATAGCAAAACTAAGTAAGCAAAAAATACTGACTCTAGGTAAAATATTTTTTTATATGCTCCCTCCGTCCGTAAATATTCTTCTCATTTGACTTTTCTTGGTCAAAATTTGTAAACTTCGACTATGATAAGTGGAAAAAATACATTGTATTACGATATAACTTTAATATGAATATATTCATTTTGAAATATAATTTCCAAATATCAAATTCTTATAAAATATATCCATGTATAAATAAAGATATTAGTGGTCAAAGTGCAATCTTGGAGAGCGTAAAAAGTCAAATGAGAAGAACATTTTCGGACAGAGGGAGTAATAAATATATCAAAATGGAAGGCAAACACTTGTTAAAATATTTTTTTTATATAATAAATATAATTTGTTAAATGGTCTATATATATTACATAAATGAATTTTCCTCCGTATTATATTGCAAAGCATATTATATTTTGTAAATTTTAAGTCATGTTATATAAATTATATTAAATTATACAAATCATATTCATAAATTAAGTTTTTAAATATAATTACACCTACAGCAGCTATTAAAAGTATCTAAGTTTATCAACCATTTTTTGTGAATAGCTAATGCTCGATCGATTAAAATAACTAATTTTATCAGTCATTCGAAATAGCTAACAGCTAACTGCCTGCTTTCAAACACTATTTGGTCATGTATGTCCAAATTTGGAAAGAAGGCGTAGATCTGAAAAAATAAACCCTAACAATTCGTCGCATAGGAGTCGCTGAGTTGGGAGACGATCGATTCAGGTGCAACCGCGCTCGCGACTCTCTTCTTCTTCTTCTTCTTCTTCTTCATTTTCCGTCTTCTTCCTCTTTCGATCTGTGTAAATTTGATCTGATCAGATGGCACTAAGAGGTGTTTGGCAACTTCAGAAGCTGGTGGTTAGCTATTCTGATTGGGGAGGCAGTAGCAGGGGTTTAAGGTTTGTACTTACTTTGTAATCCCTATGCAATTTATTTAATTCAAGTTTTACTGACTGTCCATTTGGTACACGGAATCGACAAAATTAGAATCGAATTGAGAGTTGAAATTCATTTTTAGCACTACCAAATTCGCATATTTTTGTGCTACCAATTCTATAGTTTGAATTCCATGTTCCAACTGGAGCCTAGGGTGAATTCTAGGGCTATTAACGGAATGGATTATCAATGTATTAGGGCATTTATGGAGTCTCATCTGCCAGCATTCAAGGACATCAATCCTCAGCTTGAAGTGGTAACCGAGCTGAATCGCAGGCAACATCCATACTTGAAGGGATTATACAGTAAGACATTCCTGAGTGACTAATATGCAATCTCTGAGCGATATTGTAAAAATATTGATTTTATGAGAAACTGAGTGATAATCGTGTGATCTTGGAGTATTCATGTAAAATCTCAAATTCCCGGGGACTATTTGTATGAAATTTTTCATAAGTATAAATATAAAAGGCAGTGTTTGGGAACTAGTATTTCATTTCAATTCCAAAATTTGAATTCTTGAACTTCAAATGAAAAGGGCAGGAATTTGACTCAAATCCAAAATTTTCAAGTTTCCCAAACATGAAATTTGAGTCAAGTTTGAATTTGAAACCCAAATCCAAGTTCCCAAACACACCACCATAACAGAATTTGATTTCTTGATGGGAAATCAGCACCTCTCTGAGCATATTTTGCAGACTGTTAGCTTGTGTCCATGAAAAATGCATTAGACAAGATATACATACAACTCTAAGGACAGGTAGAGAAGGTGTGTTTCTGAAATATGCTGGCCTTTGAAAACAAGAATATATGCACAAAGAGCTTATGCATTGGCATCTGAAAACCTGCAAGAGTTGTAAAGCTAATGTGAAGCCACTAAAACTCATACTGGCTTTCTTGGATGATCAGAAAACAAGAATGAGCGTGTTGTCTCGGTTAAAAACTTGACCCCGGAAGAAATTCTGTTACAAGCAACAAGGCTAAGGAATTCACTGGGGAGAAAGGTGGTGAAGATGAAGACTAGACATGTCACCAAACACCCAAGTGTCCAAGGCACCTGGACTACAGATTTGAAGATGTAAGACCAATGTTTCAAGGTACGATAATGACTATTTTGCCCCCCCCCCCGTTTGAGTGCAAAACTCGATAAGATCTATCTATGTGATCTAAACCTGCTCTTTTTTTTTTTCTCGACTCGTATTTATTATGAAACTACATACTAGCTTTACACTCTATTTTAGGTGTGAACAGCTTTTGTGATTTGCATATTGATTTGATTTTAACTTTCATTTGGTTAAGACTTGAGTGATAATTTGCCAGACTTGGAGAAATAATGGTGAATGACTTGAGATCTAATAATGAATTGTCACATTAATACATTGTTATATATACAGATGAAGCCACAAAATACAATTAGAAGGAAACAGTTTTACGCATACCAGAAACACTAGAAACAATTAGGCATATTATTATTATTATGGCATCATATGATTATTAGGCGGACAAGCAACCAACACCATATCTAGTGTTGGGGAAGACGAGAAACAGTCCACTGCAAATAATCCCCACCATCAACGGGAAGCTCTGCATCACTTCGTCCATCTCCTTCCCATGGCCGGCCGGGGAACAGGCAGTCCGTCACGCGGTGGTCGGAGAATGCGATAGCCGCGAAAACCACCACGGACATGACGGCGTGCACGAAGTCGGTGACCCCGACCTTGTAGCGGTCGTCCTTGGGGACTTCCACCCCCGGGTCGCTCTTGAACACCGCCAGCCCCCGCGGCGTGACGAAGCCGTAGTAGACTTTGCGGCCGTCAGGGCCGCCACGGAAGCTGTCGGTCAAGTGGAAGAAGAAGCAGGAGAGGGCGCAGATGGAGAGGAGGGCGAGGATCATGGTGGCGCTCACGGAGGAGCACTGCCCCTTGCCGTACACGCTGGGGAGGACCATCTCGAACGTCAGCAGCGTCCCCGTCGGCAGGAAGTTCACCAGCAGCGATGTCTTCGACAGTGTTTTCTGTACCCCGGCTGCCACCGCCCGCTTCTTCCGGCCTCCCGTCGGTGCCTCCGCCGCTGGAAAGGGTTGGTCGTTCTGTATTTTGATCCCGACTTCTTCTCCTTCTTGGTGCTCCATTGTCGCATGAGAGAAAACAAGTAATTACTCCAATGATAATGATAATAATACTGATAATTGTGGAAAATGGAATGCAGGGAGGGAGATTTGATATATTTATTTATAATTCTCGAGATAATTAACCACAAACTGAAATTTCTAATTTTTGAATTTGTAGAAGTTTGAGTAACCGTCAGACAGTTGAATGGGAAGGGGAAGTCTCAACCGAATGTACGTTGTAAAATGAAGTGTTAGGTGTATGAACCATCATTTTTATAAATGGAGCACCATAGGTATCCAAACGAATTGGTGTAAACAACTGGTGTATAATTTAGACGCTACCTATTTATTTATACAAGAATAATTTTTTTTGTATTTTATTCCACTAAGTAATGTAGAATGGAATTTATATCTGTTATTGTGCAGACGGATATGAAAGAGGGTTGTAAAAAATTGAATTTAGACAAATATTTCGTAAGGAAGGAACATATAGTTTTCTTCAGATTTGAGTTTTTTTTTTTTTAATAAAGAGAGACATAGCAAACTAAAGTTAATGAGGAAAAGCACTACAAGTAGAGAGTAAACGTATTACAAAGAATGCATCAACTATAGTGGCTACTTAACCATCCTAATCTAGTTTTTCAAACTTTATTACTATAAGTCATGCACCTCTGAGTCTTCGATGATGTCTATCTTCTTATTTTGACCTACCAATGTAAGTCTCTTGCATCTCTGCATGGTAGAAATCCTATTTGAGTATATTTTCAATGTTTTATTCTTATTTTAACTTTTTTCCAAACGAAATTAATTTTAGGACGCCTATTAATTATTTATTCATTTAACCATACAATTCTTTTTTTTTTTTGAAAAAACAAAAATAGAAAAAAGAAAAAAGCAAGCATAAACGAAGAATTAGAGTAAATTTTGTAGATAGTACTTAATAACTATGTGTTTTCACAAATTCATCATTCAAAAATAGGACTCATGCTTCGAATTATGATGTTTGGTCGAAATTATTTTCAAATAAATATAACCGAAAATTGGTCTAGAATTTTCTATTAACATGAGTAGCACGAAAGGAGTATTAAATGTTTTATTTACATAATATTCTTCTAAATAATTGTAAATAACTTGAAACATTTACTTTAAAATTTATAAAATTATTATTTTTTGTTTTATTGATTATATTCTTATTGTACAAAAATTAAATTTTCCCTCATATTTTTTGAGTTTTATTTCGAAAATGGAGAAAATTGAGAAAATATGAAATTAGAAAGGACCTCTTTGGAAAATTATTATAAGTTTTAATGTCATTTTGACGACCTTTAGTTAATGGACTAAACTGAATATTTTTTCAAATAACGAAAACCATCTCAACAGTTAATTTATTTTGTGGGCTAATTTGAGAAAACATTTAAGGTCTATTTGGTTGGAAGGGGAAGGGATGTGAGGGAATGTGAAGGGATGAAAAGGATTTCCTTCACCTTGTTTGGTGGAACTTGGAAGGGGAAGGAAGGATTTTATATTCAATTTTTTTATATTTTATATTTTTCATTTTAAATTTATTTTATTAAATCTATTTTTCTAAAAGTTATTGCCAGTATTTTTTATTTCGATTTTTATAATTTAAATTTTTTATTTTTTATTGGAGGATAGAGGAGGAAACTAAAGCTAAAATTTTGGATCTCTTTCTCTTTATATTTTTACACCAAACATGGAGAGAGATTCAGATTTTGTTCCGTCCCCTTCCCTCCCCTCCAAGTCTCCAACCAAACATGCCCTTAGTTATTGACCGCGTTTTACTCGTTCCGTCCTAAAAAGGTTGTCATACTTCACTATTTAAAAATTATGGAAACTTTGATTTAATTTTATTTTTTATTGATTATTTGATAAAATAGAATATTTTTGTCTCCTCTTATTTTATAAAACTTTTGCTGTAATTTTTAATATGTAAATTTTACTTTTGATTTATATACTATTTTTTAGAGTAAATTCGATAAAAGATCCCCAATTATAAGTCATTTTACATAATTAGTCCCTACATAATAAATATTACTAATTTAGTCCTAAGTTATTACTGTATATTCATTTCCATGCATGGTCTCTTGTTAACATTTTCGTTAAGAACGTGGATAAAATTGTAAATTCACACTCCTTTCTCTCCTCAATTAAGCTTCATCTCTCCCCTCGCACTCCTTTCCCAAACTCGCAGCTGAATTTGAAGTTTTGAACCCAAAATCGAAATCATCACTCTTCTCTCAATTATTTGTCTTACTGGTGGAACCCAAATTCGAAACCAGTAACCTTCATGGGTGAGTTTTAATGTTTATTTTTTTTGCAATTTCCTGAGACTAACCGATAAAACTTATCCATAAAGCTTATTGGTTTTGATTTTAAGTTTCACGAGGAAGACTAATAATTGAAAGAGGAATGATTATTTCAGTTTTGGGTTTAGAATTTCAAACTCAGCGACGGGTTTGCGAAAGAGTACGAGAAGAGGGAAAAAGCTTAATTGAGGAGAAAGAGAAGCATGAATATACAATTTTATCCAAGTTTTTAACCAAAATGTTAACAAAGAACCATTCGTGAAAAGTGATATAATAATTGGGGACTAAATTAGTAATATTTGATATATATGAACTAAATATGTAAAACAACTTATAATTGGAACTTTTTATGGAATTTACTACTCCGTATAATTTTTGAATAAAGTGATTAGAAAAAATTTAAAAAGTTATTTTGTTTAATGTAATGTTGTACGTGAGTAATTTTTTTGGGATGGAGGGAGTAATAGTTTTAGAGCAATGCTAGATTCACAAACAGAATACTCACAAACTTCACAAACTTACGATTTATGGTTTAAAATTTTATTTTGAAATCACTTTAGGCCATTTAATTTTTTTCATTGAAGTTCACAAATAGTAAGTTTGTGATGTTTGTGACCATTGTGTTTGTGAACCAAGCATTTCCCATAGTTTTAATCAGAAAAAATTAAAGTAAAATTTGCATTAAATAGGACTAAAACAAAATGACTTTCCCAATGTAAGACTTAAATTTTTTTATTCTCTAAATAGAATTTAATAATGACCTAGTGAGAGAAATAATGTCCTGTAATGATGGACATTTACTTGAATAATGACTACTTGATAAGTTCTACATTAGGAAATAAAAACATATGGTCTTATATTGGGAAAGTCATTATGTTTTAGTCTAAAAATTTCTCAAAATTAAAAAGATCCGCCGAACGGCCGAAGTCCCAATTCCCAAAGAAATCTATTGGTTTAATCTAGATCTTACTTTCCCCTCTACCCGGCCCGGATCGCCTACTTATTCTAATCCAAAACCCCGTCGTCCACGGCATCTCGCCATTGCCGGGAAAAGAAACTTCACTCCAGGCTCCGCACCTTCCGCCTCTAGCCGCCGCCCGCCAACACCACCGACGGCCGATTTCTCTCCAGGTTCGCTGTGTCCCGTGCTTCTTCGACCTTTATTTGTTCCAGCGATTATCTATTAGCTTTTCTCATGAATCATACAATCTTATTTGGAATTTGTTACTTGATATCCCATCTAAAGGAGGATTGTATGCTTGATAATGCCTTTTTTGAACATATACCTTAGATTCGCACATTTTGCTACCACAGTCGCAGAAAAAAGGTCCCATGATTGAATTAGCACGGTTATTGAGAACGTTGTAATTGTGTTTTCGAAAATGAATGCTATAAAAATTTTATATATCTAAACTACATCTTTATATAAACTCAATTATATGAAATTTATGTTATAATTAAGTATGTAGTATATTTTTTCACAATTTGTGGTTAAAGTGACCAAAAAGTCAAACTAGGATGATAGTTTTGTGACTGAGGGAGTATTAGACACAGAAAACTTTGCATAAATGCGAAGTGGATTTTTTTTTTTTTGGATAGGCAGAAAAGGAATGTGGAACCTTTGTACGGGAGTATATTTTTATTTTACTTGTTTGACTAGTTATTCATGGTAAAATAACGTGTGTGTTGCATGGAATGTACTGATTAAACAGCACAAAACGTGATTACAAACCAAAATCAGGCTGAATTGTAGTTAATCCCTTTCCAGTTCTGCAACCCTAATCAAACTGTAACAAAACTGATCTTCAAGTGAATGCTTTCAATTTCTATTTGGTTCCATGTTTCAAAACCGACATAAACGTAATCTGAACCTGAAAAATCAAACCAGAAACTGGTATACTCATCGCTAGCTCTAGTTTTTTCACCAGCCCTTGGAGTACATAGCAATTTTGCTATTATCACATTGGGAATATGGTTACTTTTGTGAGGAGTGGGGCCAGGAGTTGCTCTTCATGTGGTTAAAGGATTAAAAAGATAATATGGAGTAACAGTTAACAAAAACGCCACTTGATGCCAAAGCCAAAATAATATGCTAGGATATTATACGTAAATAATTACTGCTCAACAGAAAAATGCTATTTGGCGGATGCTCAAGAACAATTTTAGTGTAATAGTCAGCACATTTGTTACTTTCTTGCAAGACCTTGTGAACTCCCAGAAACTATATATAGGGTTACTATCATACATTAAATGTTGATAAGGAGCTGCTTCCTATTTTCTTGACTGTTGTCACTGACTTAACCTCGTGCCTTCAACTGTTAGTCGTAAATTAATGAAGTCTGAACCCTTTTTTCAGCTAGGTTCTCTTTGGATATATTTGCTATGAAGTTCTTGGAATACACTCCACTTGATCAGTAAGTCCTAAAACATCTTTGTTGTCATGATAAAAGATATTTGATGACCTTTATATACATGTTAGTTGTTTGCCTATCCTAGCATTGTGCTTGTATAATAATAGTTATTTTATCACCGTCATTTGTTTCATTTTTCTATCCAAATTAAAATTGATTTAGTTTAAAGTTCTTTTAATGGGAAAACACTCTTTATGCTTTCAGTATAAGTGACTTCTTGAGTCATGTGAATCTAGGAGAGCGCACGGTTAAGGGATCTCTTGAAGCTTACTCTTGTAAGTATTGTTATTCTTTTTGAAAGCGGACTATGTTGTATTTTGGCTATCTATGGATTGAAAACTTTTTTACCATGTGTTTCCAGGCAAACACACAGGGACTGATAAGAAGCTGTCTCTCAGCTTGGAAAATGAGGTGATCTGTTCTCATAGATATTTTTTTGTTGCTTCCCTATACTTAATGTTTTTCTTTTTTATTCAATTCCACTATTCACTTTATTTCTTCCTATATGATCTCAGTTAGTCAATGTTATTAAAGAACAACTGCCCTACATGTGTCGCATGTCTTACTTTTAACTTTCCATAT